TTGTGGGACGAGGTCGTGGATGCGCACTGATGAGGAGTCCCACAATTGCTTCAATTGACTCACGCTTTCAACTTTGAAAATACTAAATCTCCACAAAAACCCCTTCTGATAATATAATTCTATGTTGATAAGTCTCCTAATTGAACGCTAGATTCGGTTTCTATGCTCCTCTAGTAACCTCCAGGCTAAATCTACACAGAGACTTGAACACGAAAGAAAAGGTGAGAAACATCAAAGAAACGATTTACTGCAAGGGTTCGTTCATGCATAGAAAATCTAGGGTTTTTATAGTATTTTACATGGACTTGGGTTCTCGGAAAATTCTGGAACGTTAATAAATATAGTAGCAGAATAGGTAATCATCCAATCAGAGACTCGACATGTGACTTCACTTTCTAGATGTTTCTAGCAAAATTTCTAGTGAATGCTGATTGGATGAGATGTTTTTCAGCGTATTTAGAGCTTGGTATTTTTCGAGTTTTTTTGATCTCCCCAACACTACCCCCTATCAAAAACAAAACGTTTTCTTCGAATCTGCTTGCACTTGATAACTGGTTTTCTGAGGTGTTCGGACTTCCTTGGTATATATATATATATATATATATATATATATATATATATATAGATAGATAGATAGATAGATAGATAGATAAACAGAGAAACTCAAGTAGTGAGAAGGCATTAGATAAGAAACAGAGATTAATCCAAAACCGGCAAACTAACTAAAGGTTAATAAAATGAATTAGATACACATCAAATAAAAAGACAAATTTATCACGAGAATAACACAAATCAATAGAAATAAGATATCCCGGGAAATAAAACTTTTAAAGGACAAAAATATCAGATAAGACATTTTTACGAAAGCTGAATTACTAGACTACTCAACAAGTTCCATTTTCTCAATAAATAAATGAATTAAAAAAGATGAATATATTGTAATAAATGTTTACAGAAATGCACTGATTTGATTCTTAATTATTACACAAAGGCCCACACATTGTTCATTACGCAATTCAATCAGTAGCTCTTTTTAGGAAATTCTATTCTACCCAATAACTATTGAGTCGATGAATGATTTTGTAAGTAGACATCGAATGTGGAATTTAATAACTACAAAATTTAATAACGACAAAAAAATGTCAAATTCTTTACAGCTTTCAAAGACGTCCAACTCATAAACATTGAGTTTCTAAAGGTTATGTGCAAATTCTCAAAGCACGGCAGTTTACTCTGGAGTCGCTAGTTTGAAGATACTTGTAAATATTTAACCCGAGAAATCTTACTTGTGTGAGGACGGAGAAATTCAGTGGTAGGATAGAGCTAAGCAACTGAAAGCAGCAGTTGCATTTGATAGCTGTTGGAAGCTATCTCAACTCATTTTAGTGTGACGTCAGTGAAACAACATTTGACCTCCACAGAACATCACTTATTTACATCTGAATGCATCTCAAGTGATAAAAGAACTCCAAGAAACGGGTCAACCCCCTTATGTCCTTGTGAACCCTAACCAATCTATTTCACGCTCATTAATCAGTGATTGGCGATCGTTCCAATGAAGCAGAGGTATCTGAGGAACCTTAACTCCTATACTACCAAGAACAGACGACATTCCCTCAGTCCTTTAAACGGATAAAGGCGAACTTCCCATCTAACAATCGAATTAATCTGGGTTGCAGGATTTCGCTAGCCCTCTTTAATCCTACACCTTTATTAAAGATATGGCTTTTTAATCGGACAATCGCATGAAGTTACTTGAAAGAAACCTTTCATTTTAAAGATATTAGGTTGGTAAATATATCAGGCCGTAGCTGCTACCTTGACATAATAGTCGGACTTGCTTATCATGGTGACCCTTACTTACGCCTGTTAACACTCGGTCACCGAACAACATTCACCAACCTACTCTGACCTTAGACCTCTTTACCAGTTGCCCTCAAGCGCCATTCTTGTGATGTCGGTCTCCAATTACAGCAACTATGTGTTTTTTTGATCTTCCTCCTTTCCTTTCTGCCCTTAGAATTCCAAGTTAGGACTTGCTTTGGGATGCAATCTAATCATTTCCGCAATCTGTGTCCTATCCGACCAATAGTCTTTTCGTAATTTCCCCTTCAACCGAGAGATGGTTTTTCTCTACCACAATACGTTATTACTGACGATGTCTGGCAAATGGATCTGGAGTGTCTTGCGTAGACTTGTACCTTTGTATTGATGTTTGTAGTAGTTCTCCAAATTTTACCGACGTTTTGTGTTGAAAATTCTGACTTTGGTGTTGGCTGAGTCGTTTTGAGTCCCAAGTATTCTTCAATTGTAGGAATGCTATATTTGGTTTCTCAATCCATGACTTCATATGTGCATCACATTACCTTTGTTTACCAATGATACTCTCCAGGTGTGTAAAGAATTTCCACCTCTTTTAGAGCTACTCCACGGTGACACAGTCAAGTTACAGTGAAGGAACACTCGTTTCTATAAATCCTGTCATGCCAGGCAGGTCGAGTGGAGGATGGTAAGCAGAAAGCTCATGGTCCGAGGGCGAAGCTGTATTACCGACTGTATAGAAGTGTGGCGGGAGTAAGGTGTTACCCTCAGACAACCAGAACCTGCAGAAACACTGAATCCTTACAAAGACCGGATGGGATTCGAGAAGTTATGCCTAAAGAATATCAAACCTCACCTTGCTACACGCAACTTTGTCGTCAATGGTAACGCCTTAAAAGTACAGAGTTAACTTATCTAAAACTACTTGAAAAAAGCCATGTAACCAGTAGTTATCTCTTGGGCACTACGGCTACGTTCCCAGGTGATCAGCACTACTCTCAATCCAGTTACCTTTTTAGGTTTCTTATACTGTCACATTTTATTCACATAGACTGTATACCTATATTTTTGAGTAGTGTTAAGAGGATATGAGAAGAGTGCTTGACGGTAAAGTGTATGATTGCAATATGATTGGCTATTTTGTATCCACTCTTATAAGTGATTGTGAACTCTGAACAGCGTACGCGCATGAATGTTTTTGTGTTTGCTTGATGATCTCGTCATATTAACTCTAGATACTACGGTTTGTTTCAGGACATTGTTAAATATATATGTGATGACCCATATATGTATACTTGGCTTTCATTTAATTCGTTTATTCAATTTATAGACTATCTACCTGCCCCCTATTACAACGGAGGCAAACACAATAAAAAAGGTGTTTAAGCCAATCAAACTAATCTAGGTAATTTGGTAATGAGGAGCAAGCTACTACTAAAACCTCAAGTAAAGTATACTTTAATAATGTGGACATCGCAAGTGATGGCCGCCCTCATGCTTTTAACAGCTTCATTCATAATCGAACCCTATCGTCATTACTCAAGAGTTCTACTATTTCCACCATCTACCTTCATCTTCTGTCCTTGACTTCTCTCATAAGTCCCACTAGTGCTAACAATTGAATTTTACAGAATGCTATCTCAGATCTCTTGAAATCCTACTTCAAAATATATGTCGGGGCTTTCAACGTCCGAACCCTATGTTAAATCGGACGAAAGGTGTCACTAGCTAAGGCACTAGAGTCTCGTGTTCCCGATCTATACAGTGTTTATGAAACATATTCAGGGTTCTAGCATGATCATAAACTTGACCTCACCCGGCCAGTACAGAAAGCCAACGCGATTTATTTCTTGTTTATTTGAGGACGAGACAGTAAATTCTCGTGATCTTGCCGGTATATATGTGGCACTAATTTTGAAAGTTAAACAGACACTTTTTTATTACATTCCTATTCATGGCCGCTTATATTCAGTCTGTTTCATTGGAATAGTAAGAAGTCGGTGAGAGAGATATACTTCGTTGCCACTTCATCACTTCTACCTATAACCCTACTAACTGCGGCTCCAATGGAAATGAGTTTTACAGGAAACTTCATAATCTTTTTCAGAAAAAACAGGAGCTCAGAAGTGGTAATCTTAACAAGTGATTTTAACATCCAAGGTGGTAAATTAAGTCAGACTGAAAAATACTTAGCTGGGTCCTATGGCATCCCAGCTCAACATACGGATAACGGCAACTGTGTAGGCTAAAGGTTTTTGATCATAGCTAACCTTTAAACGTAGTTCATGTTTTATGGAATGATGGTTAAGTTAGTTATAGGTACTAGGCAAATAATTGATGAAGTTGTAAATATTCATCGACTGAGGAAGTTAGGGTACCTGTCACGTATGTCTAGCAACCTCCTTGCTTGATGAGGGATGTTTACTGGTGTAGGAGTAGGTTGGAAGAAAATTAGGTATAGCCAAATCAAGAGGTTTCATCAATCCATGAAGTCAATTAATTTTGGCTAGAGCCGTTTTTGGAAGTACAAACTATATGGTTGATGTCCACGCAATAAGCCCGTCAACGGTTCAAAATTGTTCACAACGAAGCAGAATTATTCACTCCTAATCGTCCTCTTGATCTTGAACTCCAGTATTCCATCATACACAATCTCTCCGCTTTTCTTTTTTGTTCTATATTCCTAATGTTCGGCCACTCTTGTTATAGTTCTTCCTACATTATTTTGATCTCTTTTTGTATTCATCTAACTTCCATTTCGTCGTGCTAACATGGTAACTTGGGGCAATGCATATTTTTCTCAGGTTGTACGTTCGTAATGGCTAACTGTTGTTAGATAATAAAGAGATTTCAAGTTACTATATGAGAATTGTGGAGACCAACAAGCCTTCAAGAAAGAAAGGTTTAAGTAATAGCTTACCCATTTTTCAATCCATACATAGTAAATAATTTCACCATGTGTTTAACGAGGTCATAAACTTTTTTATCGTAACTTCAGTTACTTTCCCCTGTACTTAGGTTGGCGGCCAAAAAGATTAATATTGGAAAATCAGTTTACTTATGACCTTCATAGATAAGTTGTATTAACAAACCTAAAAAATTATGTGATGCAAAATCTAGACTACTTATTAATAGAAAAAGAGATTTCAACGGTTAAATTGGGGAGAATATCTACTTACCCAAATACTGTGTAAGTGCGAACGGTACCGGTGATTTATTATATCCTGTATGAGGATCAGACAAGTTTGAGTCACTCAGTTGGGTTGTATTGCTTTCTGTATACACGTCCACAGGTTGGTAATGACATGTGTATGTAGGAAATCTTTTGTCGTTTAATCCAAACTGAGTTGGTGTTAGTTGGGATTGCACATGTGTTACAGTGTAATCATGTAAAACATTCATATTGTGACTTACTTTGTCACGTGAATATCTACGTGTATGCTTTAATTTATTATTGTTGTTATTTGTTTTGCAAGAATTAGAATGAACTGACGGGGATTTATTACGGTTTACCGAATTCATAAAGTGTTTTTGCATTCGTTTTCGCAAGACTGCTGTTTGATTGTTTGAATTTTCAAAATTTGTATCATTTAATGATGACGAATCATCACTTAACCTCTGTCGACATTTACGAACTATACGACGATTAGCAACGTTATTAGGATGATCCTCATTCATGACATTTGTATCGCATCTATCATTGGAGTTTTCAAGACTATTTAATCTGTTGGGCATGTTATCACAATTATATGGAGGTTTGATTTTAACACTAACTGGATGGTTTTGACTATTTGATGAATTAGATATTTTGAATTTAATACGTATATGATAAGAATCCTCATGTTGATCTGTGAGAAAGAAGAAAGAAAAATTCACAATTTTAGTGGACATTAAGTCAAAAATCAAACTAGTTACAAGATACTAACCAATATAATGTTTAAACCTGCAAAGCCTATCAACAAATAGTTCATTGTTAGGCGTAATTAACCACAGATGTGCGTTAGTGTGAGATCTGCAGTTGTTGTTTTTAAATTATTATATATTTTGCTTAACCTGAAACCCATGCAGTAATTGAGTTTGACCATGACTAAATGTTAATTCTTTATTGAGCTGTTCGTTAAACTTCCTCAGATGCTTTGATCGAAAGAGATATATATCCTATCACGAACCAACACACTTAGAAGAAACATTGGAAAAAAAGTGAAAATTGAATGACTAAAGCATCATGAACTTCAAAGTCAGTCAGTCGCAAAGTATAAGAAGGTACGTAAGTACATCGGTTCAAGTCTCTATACTACATTAACACAGAGCAACGAAACTGTCAGGCGAAATCACAGAAGAGTAGAGCTAGTAACAGTATCAGTGGTAATAAGAAAGAATAGGCATCAAAGATGCGACTCGAAAAGGAAATATAAATTGGTGAAATAAAAACGAAATAAGTCACCAAGGATTTAGAGTCTCACAAATTTGAGGAAGAAAATGAATAAATACACTTGATTCGTCGCAAAAGATTTTGAGCCATGTCATCCAAAGTCTCTAACCAATGGTTACGATAATCACACGGGCCCTAACAAGGTAGTTTGTACCAATTAATATGGCTAAGTTCAATCGTACGTGACTTTATAGAGTGGTTCCATGTTTCGATTTGGCCGTCCCTAGCCATCTTCCAGCCCACTTCTAAGTGGTGCAAACCTACAATCTCATAACTAATAACACTATATATGTTTTAGTCAGCTAGTCATGAGCCACAAATTACAATTATTTCGCGGATCCCAACTGAGAAGTCTGGATCCATTGATATAGCTAAAACAGATAGTGAATGACTCCGTACGATGATATAAATATATGAAGTTATATAGATTCCCGGATTATATATTATCTACGACAAAATCGTGTTTTACAAGAAAATTCATGCAATCAAATGTACACAAACCGTAATAAAATACTGTCGAACTTAATTAGTTTGTCGAGATTTTCATTGTAAAACTTAAGACATAATATGGTAATAATAGTGGTTTTCTTCCTAAAGACTTCGTTTGATAATGAACACTTGAGAAGACAGATTTAAATATTTCACACACCTTGCTGATGATTATACTTACAGAATACAGTAGGTATAAAAGAAAGTGTCAATTAGTGAGGGTTTATACAGATATTTACATAAAATCCATCTGTACCGATCTACGAGTTAGTTATCTCCCCCTGTATCACACCCTTATGTGAACAAACATGCATATACCTAGACACGAGCATATTTAACCAATATCAATTCGACATCGTAAATAACTACAATCAAAACTCTACACAAATAACGCATTATTAGTAACAATAAACAAGATATACAATATCCGTATCATACTATCATTCAGAAACTCCGGTTATCTAACATCACGTACAACAATATAAATCAGCTATTACTGACGTGTATTGAACAGTTTATAGCTCCGGGTCGAATATTCGAATACCACGGTTTCCCGTGTTCTTTTATTCTTATCTACTCCAGAAGACAAACTTGAGACGAAGAGTTATTGTATGATTCTGAAATAGACTTTTGGTGAAGCAGAGTAGCTGGAACTGACTAGATGCTTTAATACTGAGCTTTTGACTGACTTCTGTAATCATTTGGACAGCCAAGCAAAGTAATGTTCGGAGATGCGTTTCGAAAGAGCTCGCTTTGTGCGGTCAATATAACCTGCTTCATATGAGCAAGTAAAGTGATAGATGCATATTGATTTGGCCCACAGCGGACGCTTATCTATCACACAAATTCGAATCATAGGCCGACTAGAAATGATAATGCGAAGTTCAACCGAATAGAACGTTCTCCTCAGAAATCTTGAAAGTCTGTTTTTCGGAACTTCTGCAATGTCTCCTTTAAATCGAATGTTCATGAAGACAGCCATTTTTAGTGTTATGGATATTCTTTCACGTCGCTGTTTTGGCTTCAGATTTTTTTAATGCATCTAGGTGGATAGCCATTGTTGATCAGTGTCTGCAGTAGTTTTTCAAGTCCGTTATCGATTGTATCCTCGGTACAGACGAGTCTAGCCCTCGAACAGAGAAAACGAATGTTTCTCTTCTGCTTCGATGGGACCCAGCTTTGAAAATCCGTGTATTGACCATTCCATACATCGATCTCCGTAGGGAACCGTTAGGTCACCTTTTTACCAAAACATTCAACAAGTGGAAGTTTGAATCTGACTCTAATTCCATAGTAAACATAATTGACTGGTGACAGTTATTGAACACGTCCAAGATGTCGTTGACATTGATATTTTTGTCACAAATAATGAAAGTGTCGTCCAAGTATCTCCTGTACATATAAAAACTGTCAATTATTGGTCGAAGTAGCGTTTCCGAGATTAACGATCAGTTGGAAGTGGGTAGAGTGACGACTCCATTGCTAAACAGTCAGTTTTTCTATAAAACTCATTGTTGAATTTAGATTGGACGCCGAGACTGTATTGAAGCTCCTTCAAACAATGTATTGGAAAACCAACATCGAGTTTGTTATTTTCAATATGATCACATAGTAGGTAGATTGTTTCTGTCAGAGGTGCATTTGTAAAAGGTGACGTCATCCTCTTTCCGGTTACGTTAACACTCGATATTGAATCAACAAAATCAAACGAGTATCTATTGGGTTGATTTCTGTAGAATTTCTGCTAGTCATTTGGCGGTAGCATGGTATGGCTAGTTATTCATATTCAGTATAAGACATAGAGGGGTATCTTTCTTATGTACTTTAATCAAACCATACAAACGTGGAATGGTGGATCCAGTTGGTCCAGGTTTTTCATAGAGGTCCCTGTTATGACTTGATCAAGGTCGTCGCTAATTTATTATGACCTTACAAATTAAACAAGGACGTAACTCGCGTGAATAATGCACCAATAGAAATACGACTTCTCCGACCTTAACACGGTGACGATCAAGGACGTCCAATCCCGCGTCCTTATTGGTCCTTAATCCGCCTAGCCCTTCCACTTCAGTCCAGAACACCAATAGCAGCTTCTGTTATGCGAATCGTTTATTTCAAGCATACTTTGTTTATATACCAGACAGGCAGACCACATTACACCATAAAATAGAAAATAATATTCGTACAAAATTAAGCCAAATGTGGCTGGGAGCGTGGGAGACAATAATCAATAAACTGAGTACAGCTTAGGAACAGTAAATCATATAATAATAATCAATAGGTCAAAATGAAGCTTGTAATAAGATGAATATAGATAATCTAGTTACTGAATAGTTGTACAATAGGAATATACATAGAATAATAGTCCAATAATAGGTTTTGGGAGTTACCCGTACTAAAGTCTTCGCTAGGACATAACAGTCCCCACTGATAATTGATTCATCCTTCGTTTCCTTAACGATTTTAGTCAATTTCTGCTCACCTTGATCTGCAGCATCATTTTGAACTTCTTCTTTATTGTTGATATCAGAAAGAATACAGAATACTTTTGAAATATAGTCATTACCATTCATTATAACAATGCCAGAACTTTTATCCGGACGACTTAACACCATATCTTCCTTTATCAAAAGATCCAGCAGTTGGGATTTATGTTGTTTAGAAAGTAGTCGCTTACCTATTGACCTTGTATTGGTATATTGATTACAACAATTTGCAATGGGTTTTAAGTTGTTCAAGTTCTTTGTTGGGTACAGGGATAAATTCTTTTGTCTGATGGACCAGGCTTTCAAACTGGATTTTTGTGCTAAGCTCATTGACATTTGCAGAAGCATCCCGGAACTTCGGATCTAGTGAGTGTAAGTAATTGCGTTGTGAATAAAGTGGTATTCGAGTAGTTAAAGATGTATTTCCCAGGTACTTCTGGAAAGGAAGCGTGCACTTCCGTTGGTTTTAGACGTCTCATCAACTTCGCATTCATATCCTCTGAGCGTTTCTTTAATACTGTATGTGTGTTCTTTAAATTAGTTACATTCATCTACTGTTAGTTCATATGACAGATATGTTATCAATTAAATATATCTTGTTCGATTTCTGGTAATCTTGACTTAATTTCATCAACATTATTGTTATATCCCGTGCAGATTTATGAATGGTAACTTTGCAAACTATTTAAGGACCAATATGATATATTTCCTATTGTATAATTGTTAAGCAACTAAACTATTCATATTCGTGTCCCTCTTATCATAAGCTTTATTTTGACCTATAAACTATTATTATACGATTTACCATTCTTGAGTTATTCCTAAACCATTAATTACTGTTCCCCCTATTCACAGTCACATTTGGCTAAACCCTGTACAAATGTTATTTTCTATTTTACGGTACGTTCATATATATCAAACAGGGCACGTACGCACATACGCACTCAATCGTATATATCAAATGGGCAAGTACACGCACTCACACACAATCGATATAACAATTACTTAATGTAAGACGTTTAAGAGAACGATGGTTCGGTTAAATATGGCTTCGACGAAATGATTTTCAGTATGGTCTTGTATATTCTCCTTTGTCTAAACAGTTTTTTAAAAATGCGATACTAGCATTCGCTACAGCAGGTGTTATAACTTGTGTTCGCCTGCCAATTATTATATCTTGTACCCGCCTATTAGAGAGCAGCGATTTATTGATCGGCCCAGTGTCACACGAAACCTGTCAGTCCTGTTTTCTGCCTAGCCCAGCCAGTTAAGTTCAAAACAGCCTCTGCGACATGAATCACTATATTTCAAACATACTGAGTTTATATACCAATCAAACTGACCACATCGTACCATAAAATAAAAAATACCATTTGTACAAGATTCAGCCAAATATGGCTGTGAATAAAGGAGATAGTAATTGATAGACTGAGTATAACTC